TCCTCAGGGGTCCCGTGGGCTTGGGAAGAGGCCCTGGCTCCTTTCTTTTACCAGTTCCATCTATGTGAAGATAAGTCAAAGGTCCTGCTTGACCATTGTTGGTTTCTCTTGGAAGCATGGAGGAAATGATTCCTCCGTGTTGACCCTCCTCTTTATAGACTGGACACTGGTTCAAGTCCATCTGGTGGGGTCTCCTTGATCAAGAGGTCAGATGACCCACGTTATTATTTTTTGAGACAGGGTCTCCCCTGCTGAGGGGAGCCCCAGCTGTCCTGGACCTATGTAGACCAGGCTGGCCTCGATATCACAGAGATCCTCCTGCTCTGCCTATTGGAGTGCTGGAATTAAAGGTATATGACACCATGTTCTGCAGTCTCATGGTCTCCCTCTAGCCCCAGCTGGCCTGGAACTTGATATGTAAACCAGGCTGACCTTGATCTCACAGAAATCCACCTGCCTCTGCCTCCCTAGTGCCAGGATTAAAGGCATGCACTACCACACCTGGCTTTTCCCCCATGCTTTTTAGTGCTTACTACTGAGTTGGGTTTTTTGTTTTGTCTTTTTGAGACAGGGTCTCCCTGTAGTCCCAGCTGACCTGAACTCACTATGTAGACCAGGCCGGCCTTGCACTCACAACGATCTGCCTGCCTCTGCCTCCCGAGTGCTGGGATTAAAGAGGTGGGCCTTGAACTCACAGAGATCCACCTGCCTCTGCCTCCTGAGTGCTCTTTTTTGAGACAGGGTCTTCCTGTAGCCCCAGCTGTCCTGGAACTCACTATGTAGACCAGACTGGCCTCGAACTCACAAAGATCCGCCTGCCTCTGCCTCCCAAGTGCTGGGATTAAAGGCACGTGCCACCACACTCGGCTGATTTTTTTTTGTCTTAAATCTTATTAGTTTTATGTGTATGAATACATTGCTTGCATGTATGCAAGTGCACCTGTGTTGTGCAATGCCCATGGATGTCAGAAGAGGGTGTCAGATTCCCTAGAAATGGTGTTAGGACAGTTGTTAGCCACAGTGTGGGAACTGAACCTGGGTCCTCTGCAAGAACACCCACTGCTCTTAACTGTTGAGCCATCTCTCCAGCTCTACTACTGAGTTCTAAATGTTATTCTGAACACAGTCCTTTGTCAGACTCATTAGTTATTAATAACAACACATGGGTGAAGAGGTTTTGGATTGGAAAAATTAGTAATTGCTGAAGATCACAAGGATTCAAATCCAGATAGTGTGACTGCACTGTCTACACTTCTTTTAAGCTTCCCATGTTTCCTGTTGCATTGTTCACAATAGCCAAGTTATAGAAATAGCCTAGATGCTCACTAACGGATGAACAAAAAAAAAAAAGGGGGCACACACACACACACACACACACACACTGGAGCTTCCTTCATCCAACCATAAAGAATCAGATTATGTCATTTGGAGGAAAATTGATGGGTTGGAGATCATCATGGAAAGCAAAATATGCTAGACTCAAAAAGCATGTTTTCATTCACATATGCAATCCAGACTTAAATATGTATATAGGACATGAAAGTAAAAGGAAGAGTACTGGGGGAGTATAGTGGGAGAGGAGGGAGCAGGAGAGGGTGGGGGATGAGGAGAAAGACAGTATTGCATTATTTTCCCTCATGCCAAATTGAGATTTAAATGTGTAACATGAAAGTAGAAAAACATTTTGGGGTTGGGTCAATGCTTTTATTAGCATATATTAATTATACATAACTTCATTAAGACATTTTCAAACATGGACATAATGTATTTCGATCATATTCACCCCCATTGCCCTCCCCTGTCCCCCTCCCACTCCTGCTAATGCCTTCCTCTTCTCAGCTAGTTCTACTTCTCTGTCATGGTTTTTGTTTTTTGTTTTGTCACTAGGATTGCTTACGGGAACATGGGTGAGGGTTTGTTTACAGAAGTATGACCAACTTACCAAGGACTATGCCACCAAAGAAAATGTCTCTCTCTTCTCCATCAACCATTAACTGCACATATATATCCTCAGGTAGGACCCCAAGAGCCCAGACTTGTACAGGTATTGTGCAGGTAATCACAGCTGCTATGAATTCAAGAGTCCAACATTCATGTCCTGCCTGGAAGTCAACGTTTCACACTGCTGCTCCCTTCCCCTTTCTCCAGCTCTTTCATTCTTTCAGCCTCTTCTTTTGCAATGAGGCTTGGAGAATATGAAGTGGATGTCCTATTTATTTATTTATTTATAAAATATTTTATTTTTACTTTATGTACGAGTTTATTGCCTGCATGTATGTAAATACGCCCATGTTGTGCAATACCTGTGATCAGAAGACAGCATTGGATTCCCCTGGAACTGGAGTTACCGATGGTTGTTAGCCATCATGTGGGTGCTGGGAATCAAACCCGAGTCCTCTGCAAGAGCAGCCAGTGCTCTTAACTGCTGAGCCAACACTCCAGCGCAGATGTCCTATTTATGACTGAGCATTCAAAAGTCACTTATTCTCAGTACTTTGACGAGTTATGAGTCTCTGCAGTCACTATTCACCACAGCACCATTAATTTATAGGCATAAACAGTTATTCAGAAGGCAATTTGGCAGGTGTATCATGTTCATTAGCAAAGCAACAGTAGCAATTTCCCCAGTACGGTAACTCCCTAGTCATGCGAATTCCCTCCTGTAGAACTGCATCAAATCCAACCAGAAAGTAACTGGTTACCCCCATAACAGGCTTTCCACTATGGTCCCAAAGCTCATTTTGCCTTCCTGGTCTGTATTGTTAAACACAGGGGTGTCTACCACCCTTTTAAAGAAAATATTCTATTTACTATTTTTATTTTATGTATATGAGTGTATTGCCTGCATGTATGTAAATACACCCATGTTGTGCAATGCCTGTGGAGGTCAGAAGAGGCTGTCGGATCTCCCTGGAACTGGAGTTAGCCAGTTGTTAGCCGCCATGCAGGTGCTGGGAATCAAACCCAGGTCTTCTGTAGTCAGTGCTCTTAACCACTCAGCCATCTCTCCAGCCCTGTGCCTACCCTTTTAATGCTACTGCAACAGTCTCTCATAACACCTCAATACTCACAACAAAAAGTCTCATAGGAGGCTGGGTTGCGGTGACATGTGCTTCAATCCCAGTACTCAGGAGGCAGAGGGAAGCAGATCTCTGTGAGATCAAGGCCAGCCTGGTCTACATAGCAAGTTCCAGGCCAGCTGGGGCTGCAGAGAGATTCTGTCTCAAAGACAGAAAAGGGAAAAAAAAAAAAAGTCTTACAGGAATCCTTCACATTTTAGTCATCACGACATTCCAAGCCATCTTCTTTTTTTTTTTTCGGTCTTTTTGAGACAGAGTCTCTCTGTAGCCCCAGCTGTCCTGGAACTCACTATGTAGACCAGGATGGCCTTGAATTCAGTGATCCACCTGCCTCTGCCTCCCGAGTGCTGGGATTAAAGGTGTGCACCACCACACCTGGCCCAAGCCATCTTCTTAAAATGTACTTACAGTGGTCTTTCCAAATGTTTACTCTGATCACTTATGATGGCTCCAGAGTGACCCCAGAGGTAATTCGGAGATACAGCTCAGCACTGTCTCCAGTAGCCTGAAGACTTCCCTTAGAGACCTGGACTCAGGTAATGCTGGATCTTTCACTACACCACAGAAAAGTATTTCAGGGTGAGTCAGAGTAAAGCAAAGTTCTCAGGTCTAAAGAGGATAAGAGAATAATAAAATAGTACATATTTTAGGTCTAAGTACTAGTGTTTAGAGACATAGAAAAGGGACAAGATACACTCACATGTGGGTGCCAAGAGCTGCTTCGGTGTCTTTACAATAGGTATACATGTGATTCTGCTACTAAGTAAATACTACTCAAAGGATATAATTTATAGAGTAAGTTTAAGAATTTTTTAAAAACTAAACGAGCTGCTTATTTCTCTTTAAGCATACCCTTTTGTAAATTAAATTGTAAGGTGGTTTTATGAGATGTACTGTTTAGATTCTGAGAGGAGAGCTACAGTTACACTTAAGGTCACAAACATTTTGGCCTTGGGTAACCAAGGTCTAATTGTTGTTTTGAACATTTTGTTTTGAGACATCTTTGGGAAAACGAGCATTATACCTAAGTGATGTTGGTTTTATCAGTTGTGATAAAAGTTTCTTGAGTCTCAGCTAGTAAGACAAACTAGATCCCAAGGTAAGGAGCTTCTTTCTTTTCTCCTGTTCCCTTGTTTTCTCTCTGTCCTGCCTCAGGGAGAGTACTACAGCCACTCTTCCATCTTCCCACCCTCCAGTATCACCTACTCCTCAGCCAAGACATATAACCCTACAGGCCGTTCTACCCCATCTTTCGGTTGTTCCCCGATATCCCTCACTCCGCTCGTCGCAGAGTGCATGGACCGGGGCTGGGGGCCCAGAGGATCAACTGGGCGCAGAGACGTGGACGCCAAAAAAGCATAACCAGAAAGCACACGGAAGACCAGCGGAAAGAAGCAACATCCCACATCCACCCAGAGACCCGAAGGTAGCGCTCCCGGCGCGGCCAGTGACGTCACCTCTGCGTCCCGCCGCCGTGGCGCGCGGCTCTTCCAGTCCGGAAGAGGCGGCGGGCGGGGCGGGGATCAACTGGGCGCAGAGACGTGGACGCCAAAAAAGCATAACCAGAAAGCACACGGAAGACCAGCGGAAAGAAGCAACATCCCACATCCACCCAGAGACCCGAAGGTAGCGCTCCCGGCGCGGCCAGTGACGTCACCTCTGCGTCCCGCCGCCGTGGCGCGCGGCTCTTCCAGTCCGGAAGAGGCGGCGGGCGGGGCGGAGTGACGTCACGGGAACCG